CTCTTCCTTCAATATCTCCTCGACGTCAGACAAACTCTGATTGTTCGGACTGGAGCTATGAGATCTTAATTTCTTCAGAGAACTAGCTACCTCCTCGAGCAGTGATAGCCCTTTAGAGAATACCTTGAAAGCAAGAATAACACTCATTCTCAGCCTGAGTCCTGAGTCTTGACTGTCTTACAGAATCTACACCATAAAATTCTTTTGGCACCATACAGAAACGGAGAGAAAATAGAAACGCATAGCTTACATTCTGAAACTCTTTCTCGAGCCACTCCATCTTTACTGATTTACCAAGCTCCAGCTTCAGTGGCGGCAGAGAAACTGTATAAGTTGTGACTTGGGAGTACCTGAACACCGCAGCCGTGGAGCCCAACCTACAGTTACAAACAAGTTTTTCAGTTATATTAACCTAATGCGAAACTGAATCCATGGAGTCCAACTATCTTTGTTAAAAAATTGATTTTGGAGCAATTATTGTGACTTAGTAACCAATGGTACACAAAAGGCGTAGCAAGACATAGTGAACTATACCCAAAGAAGTGAAGGAAGTCCCTGTCAAAAGAGTGACCACAACCAGACGTTCTACTCAGCAAACTTTGTCGAGAAAAGCTGAGCTCCAAGAACTTCCCAAATGACAGGCTACGTGCAGCAGTGGATATCATCACTCTTTTTGTAGATTTTGGGGTCCCATTCTTCGTTTTACACTTACCACAACGACTCCACATCCAAAGTTGTCCTTTCGCCTCACCAGGCAAACATCTTTCGGTGGGAAGACGCCGTACTTGAATCGTTAGTTGCTTGCTGTGATGTGCATAGTAATAAACATGTGCTTCTGGTAATTCCTCACATGTACTGCATCGGCTTTCCTGGAAATAAGAACGATTCTCACAAATCTTACGAAAAATTTGAGCAATTGGCATTCAGATTCTTACAATTGCAAATGACTGAGCAATTGATCAAGCAAAAGGGCACAAAGACAACTAACTGTGTTGATTAAAGAAACATGGACAAGAAGCGAGATAAAACCTGATCAAACATGTCTTGCAAGAACTTTCCCAAAGGAACATCAAAGTTCTTGTAAAACATTATGTGAGAAAAGTGGCTCTGCTCGCAGATTATCCCTCTAAGGGCATTCCTCCTTGACAATAAGACCAAGATACTCTGAGAATCTAAGGCAGGCTCAATATTCTTCTCAATCTGCGTTCCATTTCTGTCATCCATCTTTGTGACGATGGTGCCAAAGGAAATCAGACCTACCTATCATACGGGTTTCCATCCACCGAAAACTCACCTGAAGAAAGATTGAAAAGGGACGGATTAGCTAAACACTAAAGAGCTTTTTTCATCCTCAGCAGGATCCCTTATAGTTTCGAATTCACAATTATCTGAGACAACATCCACCAGGACCGGAACTACTTCTGCATTCTCAACCAAACCAAAATACCTAGACAAAGATCGAGAAGGAAGACGTTCCTCTAATATCTTCTTTATTGAGGCAGACAGAGATGAAACCCCGACAAGAAAAGCAGGATTATAGGGCTCATAAGAAAAAACAGATTCTCCATCTGAATCCAAGGTTTTACCTTTGTCGCTATTTGTCTTTCCATTTGCATTTGAAATAGGAATACTAATTTCATTTAAGGCAGATTCAGCAGTGCAGTCATCAAGACATGATCCTGATAGTTTATCCATTTCTGCCGTAGAGAACTTTTCTGGAGCTGCTTCTGTCAGTCCTGCAACAAGGCCAGTTGAGAACATTGTTTGCTGGTCAACAAGGAAAGACATCTCCAGGGTTAAATGATATGCCAGGACAACTGCATATTGAACCACTTCTTTAACCCTTTTCAATTCATCACTGTGGCTTCCTTTAAGCAAAATCTGCAACATAGCACATGTACTGTTAGAACCCGAGGAATGAGGTAACTACCCTGCCAAGAACTTCCAGAGAGAAAATCAGGGGAAAGAAATCAAGAGAAAGTGTTAGATTGATATCTCGAATCCAAATACCGAAAGAATGTACCATGATTTATTACTGCTGCCATGTAGCCTTTTACACAGCGATGCTGTGACTATTTTATATCAATGATACTATATGCCAAAGAACAAAGATAACCTATCCTACAGCAACATCTTTGATGCTACCAATTCAAGCAGGCATCGTTTTACTCCACAACTGTTTAATGCACTCACCGTACAACCAAGACGAGTAGGGCAGCCCTCAAGAAACATCAATGTTTTACTTGGTTTCTTTCCACCTTCACCAGCAATGTTATGTTCCTCGACGATCTTCTCAATACGAAAAGAGTCACAGTGCTTAAGCTTCTGACTAGAAAGAGTATCAAATGAAACAATCTGTGAACCAATGCAACGAGCGATTCTTTCTAGACGGTGGTATTTCATGTCGAACACCAGTGTGACCCCTTTGCCAAGAATAGACTCTTGGACATCACGAGAGACAGATTTTTCCACCAGAATTACATTAGGGTGGCAACCTTCTATCATATCAATAACAGGCTTGACATAATCTTTCTCCTGTTTATAAGTAATAGTTAGAAAAGAAACCATGGGAAGCTCTTGAGATTGTGATCAGCAGAACATTTTGCAACCGTACCTGTATCATTGATTTGAAAGAAGATAATCCGCTTGTGGACTGGCCGACTACTCCTTCCACGAGCAAAATTCGGGGACGTTCATACTTGGTTGGCATGTGTTTATGAGCAGCATGTTTTTTGAAAACCAGACCTCTAAAAACTTGACTGCAATATGGTAAAAGCATTTAAGGAGCACATCAGATGAGAAGCAAATAAAGGAACTTACGCAACTTTTATAAAATGAGACAGTATGCAACATGCTTCTTCAGATCCTTGAACTACAAGCAGTGCAAAATCGTAGGTATGAGGAAAAATATAATTTATTATCCTCTGGTGTAGCCAATGGGTACTATCACATGACATGAAAATTCAGTAATATGGCTACATGTTATATATCTGATAGCTATCATATTCATGTGCAGTTGAAGGATTAGATTACCTATCACAGGGAGAACCGGTTGCAATGCATTTCACTTTGATATACGCATTTGGATCAACCGGTTTTCCATCAATAACAACTGGCTTCAACAGTGAAGCAGCCTCCCAGGATAACCCAGTAACAATGTCAACCCAATTTTCACCATCTTCTGCTGATGAGGAAACACCCACAGACTTGAGAAATTGACTCACAAAGACCCTGAACTTTCTATTTATATCCTGTTGTACTGCTCGTCGTTTTTCTTCTTTCAAATCTAAGATTTTACTATTTTCATCTATAAAATCCCCCCCGAAACTTGATTTGCTCCAGTTAGTACCATCACAGCATTCGTCGTCGTCATCATCAATATCAGTGTCATCCCCTTCTGATTCATCTTCTTGGTTTTCTGGTTCTGGAGGTTCCAAAATGGAAGCCTCTATTCGGGGATTGTCAAATTCAAGTTCTTGATCAGTTGATTTTATTGCATTTTGAGCATTGTTTTCTTTCAACTCTTGATGACCAACCTGGGATATCTCCACATCCCTCATAACATCCCCATGAACGCTTCTATCGCTGAATTCTGTCATGGTATTGGATGAATGTTTTCTTGATTCAGAACCCTTTACCTTTAAGTCCTGTTGCTGCATCCCTGTCATAGAGTCCATATCATCTTGACTACTATAACTTGAGCATTCCTCTTCCTTTCCCCTGCAAGAGAGAGGGTCAGAGAGCATCATTTATCTAATTACTATGTCACCCACATGCATTACTATTTACTAGTCCAAAGGAAATCAGACCTACCTATCATACGGGTTTCCATCCACCGAAAACTCACCTGAAGAAAGATTGAAAAGGGACGGATTAGCTAAACACTAAAGAGCTTTTTTCATCCTGTGATACTTGAGAAAGAGCGATCGCAGCTTGACAAGGAAGCCGTGGGGGTTATGGATGGAGTCACCGAACGAGTCATACCCTTATGTTTTAACAATCCACTATCCCGCATCTGACGGAAAAATCTAAGCAAATCTGTGAAGTGCCCGCCCTCCGATTCACATGATTTCTGTTCTCTGCTCTATCATCCACTGAATTTCTGATCTATCGAGTTCACCCCCCACAATACTGGCACATGCACAACTCGACTTCCAAAGATTTATCTACTGACTCCTATCCACTAGACCAAGAACACGGACAACATACACCTATATGTACAAAAGAAAACGTAAAATGAACACCTACGGGATCAAATATATAAACAATGGAACAATAAAGTAAAGAAATAATATAAAAACATTAAATAATTGATAAGAAATAGTATAGGGATCTAGGACGTCCAGGATTTTTTTTTTCAAATAGAATAAGAAAGAATCGAACATAATCCATTCAGATTCTGCATTACTATGACTGACTGTACTGAGAAAATAAAAAACAGGATTGATCATCCGCAGAACTAAAAATCATCAATCTATAACTCAAACGAAAGAACAAACTCTCCAGAACAACACAAACAAGCTGCATAGGAATTCGCAGTGAGATTGCTTCAAATTACCATAACCGATAATCTTCATGATTTCAACGAAAACAAGAATAAGAAACACCAACCGAGTTGAAGAACGAATTCTCCGGAGCAACACAACAAAGTCGAACAGGAAATCGCGGCGGAATTGATTCAAATCCCCATAACCGATTATCTTCACGATTTCAAGGAAAACAAGAACAAAACCACATATCATGCGTCAAAAAACTCTGAATTCCCCGAATCTGACTCCAAATGAACAATACAAAGAAAACAAAAGCAAGAAACCGAAAGACGGAAACAAGGGAATGACTTACCGCCGAAGCAAAAAAAGAATTCCAAAGGAATTGGTCTACGAGCTTCAAAAAATCACAAAACCCTAGCCATTTCCAAATCCTTCTGTACAAGAGAGCTGATTCTCTTTTTAGAGAAAGAAAGTGAGAGGAGAGAGACGAACAGCGCAGGAATGAGTCCACGAAGAGTAGACGACGAAGATAGAAAGAGAAAGGAGACGAAGTTTGAAGCAGAGATGAGGGAATCTTATATTTAAAAACGGTAGGGTCCACTCTATATCCACCGTTGGTTATTTCTCAGTTGTCTTTACATTTTTATTTTTACTTTTCTTTTCACATTTCTAACACCACTGTACAAAATTATTTATCTTATTGCAGTTTTACCCTTTTTTTATCTAGCTTTTACTGCAAAATATCAATAAATACCTGCTAACATTAATTGTAGGGATATTTAGATAATTAATATAAACAATTTTATGTATGTGCGTCATATAAATAATCCTGAAAATCTATCTTTCACAGTTGTTTGTTATTTAATGCTGATTAATGTGGCGAGCAAATTAAATAAAATACAGGTTAATACATTTGAATTGTTATTACCTGTAAATCAAAATTTATTTCAATATTCAGATTCATGAATATTGTTGGATGCGGAACATTTATTTCGGTACATGGAAACGCGTGCTTGGTGTTGGTGGTGCTTTTAATCGAGTATTATAAATGGATTCATAAAATGCAAGTTGCATGTTTTTTGCTCACAACGTATAATTAATTTCCAATAATAAAATTAAAATTGGGTGGGAAATCGATATAAACTTATTTAATTAGCCAAACGATTCGATATTAATTAAAGTATTCATTTTAATTTTAAATATATTTAGATTATCGGATGAACACCATTTATCAAAGGCTAAATGTAATTGCGTATAAGATATCTTTAAACATTTCATTATATAAAATGTAGATACATTGTTCATCCCAATAACTATATATATATATATATATATGTGTGTGTATATGCATATATGTGAATTCAGTTACAAAAGAAACTCGAATAACAACGATTTAAGGAAAATACTATATGTTTGTGTAATGAAACTATAGTATATATACATATTATTCAACGATTAAATTGCTAAATATCAAATATATACACGTGAAATATATATCATTTTTTAATCCATTTTATTATTTTGCAAATATTCGTCTGTGTATTAGAATCCAAAAAATGTTCAAACACGGTAAAAAAAAAAACCAATATTCCAGAAAGTTCAGATTAATTTTTAGAAAAAAAAATGATTTGCTAGAGATTGGTAATTTATAGATCAATCATTCATTTCTTTGATATGTAAAATAGATAATAGGGTGAAAACGACAATGATCCACTGCGGGACGTGGCGTCGGACCTGGCCCTCTGAAATTTCGCCACGTGGAAAAACTTGGCGGGTTCTCATGAATCTGGGAGAAGTGGAACACGACATGCCTGTGGAAAGGACACGTGGCATACCGAGGGCTTGACGTCGTTGTGCACCCGAGTCCACATGGCATTTCGATTGGTTCGTGTTTTAGACGCAAAGCAATAATTGAATTTCTTCGGAAAAACAATGTTTATTTTTTTGTACTAAAATAATTGGAGTTCAATTTTTAATTCGTAATTATATGAATAATAAATTATATTTAGTAATGGAGAAATACATGACTAGAAATTAAAACTCTATGATTGTCTTCTGAACAATGATATATGTATATATATAATTTAGATAATAGATACTGATACACGTGTTAATATAGACAGACATATATATGTATATATATATATATATATATGTTCGTAGGTTTGAATCTATTTTATTTGTTGGCATGTCGGAATTGGTTTTAATCAGTGCAATATCCTTCATGAATTAGACCATCTAAGATAAAATCGATAGGATAATGAATTAACTTGGAAACACTAGAAACGGTTTGAGTACAAGCAAAACGGTAAGAAAGCAAAGACATAAAAAAAATGTTCAATTTTTTTATAATCTGAATATTTATCGAATTTTTTTTTTGTCTAATTATATCTTTTAAAATATCGAAAAAATCCAAGTGAATTCGAACTGGATTGGGAGAAATTTTACTCTATCCTTAAGAGTTGAACAATCTAATCTTAGATTTTTTAGAAATGTTGAAATGGTTAAATTATCTTTTTGTATTGAAAATGACAAGGAAAATAAAAAAAAACATCATGATACATTTTTAATTATAATAAATAAAAAGAAGAATTAATGTTTAAATATATATATGGAGAGAATCGGTTTTGGTATATTAAATACAGAAATAAATAAAATGGGTAAAATGAATATACCACGAATAATGGCACATGTACGTATGAAACCTAACCCTGTTAAGATGGACTTCGTTTCTTGCCTCCAATTTTAGGTAAAGCTAATGTTTATCTGTATTTATTATTTTTTTCCTTTTTTTCTAAATACTGAAAAATGGACACCGAAATTAGTATTCGAAAGCATTAAAAGAAGGAAAGTTGTGATTAAAAAGTATAATATAAAAATTCTAAACAAATCAAACCATAAATGTTTTTTTTTTGTATTTTCGTTAACACTGATTTCTTTTTAATATAAACGAAATATTAATTTTTTTCTAATTCCAAACAATATGTTCATTCGTTATATTTTCCACTTGTTTTTATTAAAATATATCCATTGTTTTTAAATTCGCAAGATGTCTTAATATCGAATACAAATTAAATATTTTTTTTTACATTAGAAATCAAGTTTTGTGTTCGTTGCATAAAAAAAATATATAGTTTTATTATTTGCTCCACATTTTTTATTGTTTAATATTCTTGGATACCAAAATTCAAAATCATAATTTTTTAGACATTGTTTTTAAAATAAAAATATGCTCGACATCTTTTTCTATTCATTTTTTTATTACATGAGGAATCCTACAGGTAAAAAATTATATATAACAAAAGGAATATGCAAATGCAATAAATTAAAAAAAATACAATTTATTCAAAGTATTCAAATTTGGCTTGGAATTTTATCCTGTGAACCCAATTACATGAGACCCAATTTTAGGCCAAATTTTGCTGACAAAACATGAACATATTTGCTAGTTTCCTGATTTCATTTTATAGCAGCATAAAAGCATAGATCATAGAAAAATGCAAAATAATTAGTTAATAAAAAGGGTAATATACGTATAAACACAAAATATAATATTATATTATGACTGAAATTTGCACATATGATATGCCCGTATCTTATTTAAGGGAAAAATCTAAAATCTGTCAAATTAAGTAATTGTACGTAATAGCCAAAAAGAGCGTATTTGTTTCCTACAACAATACTTGACAGATTGATTTCACATATTTTGGCAGTCTCTTGCAAGATAATAGACTTAATTTTTTCAGGAATAACAAATGTTGGATTTTTCTGCAAAAAAATCCATTTTTGTTATTATTTGTGAAATAAATTATTTCTGTTTTTTTTTCATCAAAATACAATATATTTGAGATGTGTGTTTCAGATTTCGGTTTGATTACTTTTAAATTCATATGGTTGGATTTTGAAGAAGTTATATATATATATATATAATATTTTACATGTTTAATTAATATTCGTTTCGTTTAAATCCGGTTTTTGTGAAATTTTTTATTTAAAAAATAATCAAATTTTAAATTATTTTATATTCGATTCAATATTAATTAATGAATTTCTAAAAGTATATATAATATTTCATTCCATTTATCTGGTTCCTATATAAAATATCTGACCGCCCTAAAACGGGAGAAAATCGGCCGAGAACATTGACTATTGACGGCCCAAGTTGCTGATAATATGGTCAGGTCGTGGCACAAATTTGGACTACAAAAGTCCCACGGTCAAATTAAAAGGACCGTACAATGGGCAGATTACTTCCAACAAAATTCCACAGTAACTTCAATTTTCTGATTTAAAATTAACTAATTAAATTTAGAACCCTAAATTGAATTCTGCTAAAGAAATTATTAATAAGACCCTAAGGACAGCGAGAAGGCACGTGATAGTATCTGCCTTTGCACGTGCACCTGCAGAGGCGCGCACGAGTGAGTGCTTTTATTTCCGTCTTCATTAGCAAATAAGAAATTATTATATTTAGGGGTAAAACTCCTAAAAAACTTCCAATTTGCAAAAATATATACAAATAAACATTCAACTTGAAAAACTATCATTCAATCCCTGAACTTGTAATTTGTCACTGAATAAAACCTCGAACTTGCAAATTATTGCTCTAATAAATCTTTGACCGGTTTGACCACAATTTCAGACGATCAGAAATTCACGTATTAACGGATTGCTAATGTCACCTTATACACGTTATCAATTTTAATTTAAAAAATGACATCAGCAATCTGTCAATACATAGATTTCCGATCGTTTGAAATTGTGGTCAAACCGGTCAAAGGTTTATTAGAGCAATAATTTACAAATTCGAAGTTTTATTCAGTGACAAGTTACAAGTTCGGTGATTGAATGATAGTTTTTCAAATTGAAAGTTTATTTGTATATATTTTTGCAAGTTGAAGATTTTTTAGGGGTTTTACCAGAGTAAAATATTATATATATATACTAATCACGTGATAATTCGTAAACATGTCGTATCTACAAAAACGCATGCAAATAAAAACAACAAAACGGCAAACCCATGATGAGCGATTTTATAATAAGTCTCCATAGAAAAATCATATTTTTAAATATTCGATTTCCGTTGTAATTTTTTTACGGTTTGGTTTAAAACTTCAACTTGCAAAAATATATACAAATAAACCTTCAACTTGAAAAACTATCATTCAATCTCTGAATTTGTAACTTGTCATTGAATAAAACCTCGAACTTACAAATTATTACTGTAATAAACCTTTAACCGGTTTGACCACAATTTCAGACGATCAGAAATTCACGTATTAACGGATTGCTAATGTCACCTTATACACGTTATCAATTTTAATTTAAAAAATGACATCAGCAATCTGTCAATACATAGATTTCCGATCGTTTGAAATTGTGGTCAAACCGGTCAAAGGTTTATTAGAGCAATAATTTACAAATTCGAAGTTTTATTCAGTGACAAGTTACAAGTTCGGTGATTGAATGATAGTTTTTCAAATTGAAAGTTTATTTGTATATATTTTTGCAAGTTGAAGATTTTTTAGGGGTTTTACCAGAGTAAAATATTATATATATATACTAATCACGTGATAATTCGTAAACATGTCGTATCTACAAAAACGCATGCAAATAAAAACAACAAAACGGCAAACCCATGATGAGCGATTTTATAATAAGTCTCCATAGAAAAATCATATTTTTAAATATTCGATTTCCGTTGTAATTTTTTTACGGTTTGGTTTAAAAATAGTATTGGTTTTCTCCATTAGGTCATGTTCGATTTTGAAAAATTAAACCGAAATATCACGCCATCCCTGTTAGAAACTAGAGGTGGGTGATTCGATACGTGTTTTCAAAACCAAACAATACCAAATTGAAAAATATGATATATTTTTTAAACCGAACCGAATATAAAACAACAACCAATTGGTACATAATTATATAAAACAGAAAGAATAGAAACGAACTCCAAACCGAATATCGAAACGTCCATCCTACTAAAGAACGAATTCAATTGATGTTATAACTTGGTGCCCTTTTATCCTTCGACGTTGACCATGATTTCTTCGGACCATGGAACACGCGGGGAAGACCGCGGCGAAGAACGATTAGCATTAACGCTAACGTGTCGACAAAACCTCATTATTGCCGTTTTTTTTAGCATTATCATGATGAGTTACGAATGGTCGACGTTTTTTGTGCTTGCATCTGTTTTTCTTCTGTAAGAATATGCGAAGAAAAAACCTCAGAAGTTTCTAGAAACCACAGAAAACATGAAGATTTCACGTTTCGAGCACGTGCGAGTATTATTCAGTATTTCACGTTTCGAGCACGTGCGGATATTATACAGTGAAGAGGATGTGTTGCAGTAAATGATGAAAAGTGATGTATAATGATCATTTAGGCGTTTTTTATATGTTTTAGAACAAGGTAACACGGTAAATTAACTATCCATAGCGTGTCGCTAGTGAATATGATAGGTTGCAATCAGAATAAGAATCGATAACAATATATTTCGGCACAAAAAACTCGTCCTTTATTCTCTAAACATTTAAATAAACAAATGAAACAACTAATCTATGAGGTTTACACTAATTCCTCCCTTTTATTTAGCTAAGATCGATTGAGGTTGTCTTCCTACCTATTTGTTGTCGGTTTTCATGTACTGAAAATTTAATCTTCTGTACTGATTCAGTCGAACTATCTCTCTGCCCGCATTATTAGGCAACTAAATAGCAACTAAAACAGTTTAGCCGCTAATATTACCATGCTAAATCGAAATAGTTGATCAATTATGTTTTTTGGTATAAATTTTTTTGGTATAGTTGATCAATTGTGTTAATGCATAAATTTCCCGATTTTTTTTATATCTTTTGCACTTGCATTGTTTTATATATGTATGTATATATGTATATGTGTATAAAATTGTTTTGGCACAACCCAAACATTAGATTTTTGTTTACGCTGGATGGTTTATCATTCATTCGTTAATAGTTTTATATTGCAATCAGACAAAAAGGGAAGAAATTGGAGTAATTCTCTGTACTTTTTCAAAATAATATTTTACATGGTCTCTCAACCAACGAAATAAGCCAAACCGAACAATACCAATTCAAATGCCTTTAACCGGTTCTCTCAATAACCAAAGGGACACACCGTCAGGACTAACTTTCTGTAATATCACTACAAAGGATTAAATTCGACTCGACCGGTAAAGGAAGCTTTACCCGTCGGCGCGCCAACGAACTGTCCGGAGCTATGATCCCACCGTCTTATTCGTCTTCGCGGTGATCGGAGATCCTGTTTAACCTTAAGGTAGCGGCAATGGTGATGATGATGCGGTGACGAAGTAGCGGCACAGAGGTTTCAGCCATGAGACCAAGGAGCTCCACCGGACCGAAGCTCGCGAGACAGAGAAATCGATGGTCACTGGAACATAGATCTTCAGCAATAGATCCAAGGCGGCGACGGGAAGAAGAACATGAAGAAGAAAACGAGGTCGAACAGCGAATCCATGCGCTCCGCCGAGGAGCTGATCTTGAACGGTCAGAATCAGATCCGACTCGCCAGATCTGAGATGGAGGAGAAGAGACATTACCGGTGGGACAAAAATCGGAGTCAGAGACACCAGAGAAGTAGCAGGAGTGAGCTTCATATATGAGGAGCAATTAAAGCGATCACGGATCCAGAAGCTCCTCTGCTCGCGAGGTAGTTCTGGTTCGTACAGATCCGCCATAGAAACAAATACTTTGTGCTCCATTTTTTTCACAAATATCCACGAAACAATCGAAAACAAATCCAGAAATCAATCGAACCGAATGACCGATTCATTCCTCAGAGTTTGTTCTTTTGGAAACTATTTCGTACCTATGCGTGATAAATTTTCTTCACATTCAGCTTGACTTTCCATTTTCGTGGCGTATTATTTGCTCATTGGATTTGAACCTAGCCAATAGTAGTTGGTTGAGAACGTATAGCCAATTGATTCTGTTTGTTGTCAATGATTCAATATATGACAGTTTGATTTTTGTCCCCCAATATTCACTTTCTCACAGTGATGAACTTGAGATGGATGCATTGCATTTGCCGAATCTCTAACTCGTGTAGGCGTCAATGGACAGTGTCTGGTTCCTGTGGAGCATATGTTTCTTGACAAAAGCTATGAGGATGGGAGAATCGGTTTTCATGTAGCCATGCTGGTGCGGCCAAATACGCGGATGCGATAGCGGCAAGGTTGATTAAGTGCCACGAATAATGGAAGCATGAGAATGTTTCCAGATCGAGACGACTGGATAATATCTGGATCTTAGATGTGGACAGGGTCACAGATAAGGTATAATCATCTCCATTATTATGTGTTATCTTTTATTTGCTGGTGAAACAGTTATCATATCATTGCCTGTATTTCATAACTATGTAGCTCAGGCTAGAATCGATTGGTTCATTTTTTTGCTCTTGCAGATGAGGAAAACTTGGTCTAATTTCTTGTGAGACCATCAAATTGTGGAAAGTAACCTCAATTTCATTAGAAATTTTCAAAACTTCCCATGATCGGTGCTGTGCTTCAAGATTTATTTTTTGACACAAAGCTGTGAGGATGAGAATACAAGAGTCTGTCAACGTATCGATTTCTGGTGTCACTGAACACATGGAAGCTATGGAGGGGAGGTCGGCTATGTACGATGGCTCATGAAGTATGGGTAAGTTTCTGGTTGCAAGGCGATTTTATATGTGTCTGGCTGTTAATTGTGGGCCTGGCCACCAATTGAGGTAGCACTGAATCCAAAATATGGTATATTTTCCTTTTCCTATGAAACTCTTGTTACAGTAGATATCGTCATCACCCATGTTTCCTAATTGTTTTGCTCGCGTTAGAATAAGTTGGTTCATTATTTCTTTGCAAATGAGGAAAACTCAGACTAATTTCTGGTGGCGTAAAAAATGTGGAGGAGAATAACCTCCAGTTTCACTGACATTTTCAACCTCTCCTTGGAGGTAGTGTCAAGATGATAATGTGGTTTTAGGCTGCAAAGGCCTTCTGAGTTTGCAGGGTACATTCGAGTTAGTTGACAGATATGTGAGGATAAAGGCCTTTTGAGTTTGCAGGGTACATTTGAGTTAGTTGATAGATATGTGAGGATTATATTGGAATTTACCTCTATTGTTGTTAGCCTAAAATGGTAAAATTTGTATGTATATCTATTAGGTCCACTGGCGCTGAATACCATTGGCGCTGAGAGGAAATGATTCTGCTAGGAACGGCATGATTTACACTTGTAAAGTTTTTTTTATATTCTTTTTCTCGAACTTTAATTACCTTCCATTTTTTCGGTTATAAAAGAGATGTTGGACAGAAATGATTTCATTCAGATCTGAGAAAACTAGATATCTATCTCCATAGCGCGAGAGAAGGTGGAACGGAAAGAGAATAGAAGAGCCGATCACTACCGCCTTTTCCACCGTTTGATCCGATTTTGCAATGGGTATACTCTGCAATAGATTGTTGTTTTTCGTTTTAGCCTTTCTGTTCTCGTAATAATCTATCGCGATTATGTGATATTCATAATTTTTGTCTCAATCTAGCAGGTTTGGGTATAAATCTAGTATCTTTTTGCTTAGATCTTCCTGATTATTTCGTTTAATGATAATTGGAGTTTGAGAGTTTAGAGATTTGTTAACTTTTGCGTCATCGGTTTCTTAGTCAAATTTATATGAATTCTGTCATGTGTTCAATTGGATATAGTTTTCCTGAGATATATTGTTGGTTGCATCTTTTGTTTGGGGAAAATCGGTGATCTTGTAGGAGTTCCATTGACTGAGACTAGGATACCAGATGGTTTATTGCCCTCTATTTGGTGGTCTTCGTATTAATTTATTAGATGCTGATTAAGGTGTCGATATTCTGTTGTCGTTGATGTAGTGAAAGACTATATTGTTTTATGATTGATAAAAATATCAGAAAGCAAATTCAACGATTTTGATGTAGCCTGTAGCCAGTGTTTTGTTGTTGCTAGTATGCTTGGGGTGTTTTGCCTAACAACATGGAATTGCAAGCCGCTTTTGCTCTTTCCATGTTCTGTATGCTCTTTGTTTGTTTGTTTGTTTGTTGTGTTACAATGATGGTGTCATACCCATTCAGAGTGTGCATTTGTGTTTAAGGAACATGCTGGACAATGTAATATTGCAACAAACGGATTTTTGCTTTCAAATGTTAAAGTCTCTGTTTTGTCATTGTCCCATTTTCCCCTTTGACAAACAGTGTCCCGTAATAATACCTTGTGATGATTGTTTCTACAATGCCCTTCGTGTTTGGAGTTTTCACCCTACAATGATTTCTCACAGTTCAGCAGAAGGTTTGCGTGAGTACTTTAGCATTTTCAGATCTAAAGCCAAAATCTGATGAAAGTATATGATCCTTTGCAGATAATCACATCACAAAGATTCTGTGCAATGCCCCGGCTCCAAAAAGACGAAGAACTAAGAAAAAAGGAGAGGTCTTCTCCAGTAAATGTAATGAACTGCCTGCTGAGGTGGTGTATGAGATCATGAAACATCTGGCTTTGCCCGATTTCCTCAGTGCAGGTCGAGCATGCGAAGGTTGGCGGGCGGCAGCTAAGGACATGGGGCACACTATTCTAGAATCCTTTCCTCCTCTTGCTATGAGCATGAAGAGTGGTGCAAGGAAGTTTATGTCCTACCACAACATTGTCAATGGTGACAGATACAGGTCGAAGGTGTTGGCGTACGTAAGAAAGGAATTCAAAGGCATTTCGGGGGGCTTCATTGCCTTTGAGAACTGCCATGGCATCTGGTTTGGAAACCCGGTGACATCCAAGGAATTGGAGTTCTATAAGCCCCTGGGTTTCACCCACTTAAGCGATCGCTCAATATTGGTCAAACGTATACCGAGTGAGGACTACCTTGTCTTGGTCCTCTACAGAAGATGTAAAACCATCCATGCTATCCGCCACGGGACTACAGATTGGTTGATGTTCTCTTACTGTCATGCCCCTTGGGACATAGTCGACTTGGTTGTTTGCAATGAGCGTGTGTTTGGCCTCACAAGTGACGGACGCCTCGGGATTATCGGTCTCACGGCATCGTCTATTACATTTAGAATGATCTTGATGGAGAGACGGCAGTTCATGATGAACGCCAAACTTGTGAGTTATGACGGGGAACAAATCATGGTGGCTGAGTATTTAGGTCCGAGACAAGTAAGGATTACGCGGGCAGACATGAATCCAGACATGAATCTAGCACAGTGGGAGGTTTTGAAAAACTTGGAAAACCTCTCACTCTTTGTTGATGATTACAATACTTACAGGTTGTGCGATCCAAGTGGTTGGGGAGGTAGGACAAACTCTGTCTACTTTCTCCACAGCAGAACCTCGGTCTACTCTGTCTTCCCGTACCCCACCAGCGACGATGATGATGATGACTTTCATGACTATGAGCTTTGTACTCAACATGGAAGTCCTCTGGACAACGTCCGCGGTTGGTATTTCCCTACCCTCATCTACTCCCTGGACCGTGTTAGGGACCATATTCACGTGAGGGCAGCAGCCAGTTGCTGATGCAGCTGCAGATGCTGCTGATGCGGCGGCCACAGCAACAGCCCCAGCTCCAGCTCCAGTTCCAGCCCCCTCAGCCCCAGCCCCAGCCCCAGCTCCAGCTCCAGCCCCAGCCCCAGCCCCAGCCGCCTCAGCCCCAGCCCCAGCCGCCTCAGCCCCAGCCGCCTCACCCCCAGCCATAATCTTGTACTGTCTCTGCAGTTATATTATTATGGCTTTGAACTATTTGGTTTTGGATTTTGCGTTTATTTTATTTTTTTTCTCTCTGTTTTTGTCTTTTTTTCTTTGTTAAATCTGTTTTTCTGTCTTTGCTTCTCTTTGTTGCTTTTTTTTCTTTGATAATAAAATGTGTTTCCCTTTTTTTAAAAAAAATTATGGTAAAACGAAGCAACGTGCCCAGTAATCGTCGTAAGGGCCCTTTTTTTTTTTTTGGGGGGGGGGGGGGCGATTTAGTCATTTTAAAATTTTCTGATTATATACAATAACGAGTGTTAATTGGTTTCAATTATTCAAATAACTGCCTTTTAAGTCCATCCAAAGCACAAAATCTCCTGTGTCTCGTATTAGTCCACGTGGCGGCTTCTCGCTTCCTCTTAACAATTAGCCTATCCTTCTGAAAGCTACTCAAGATAAGCCATCCTTTCTGCACCGTCGATCTTTCCACATCCTAAGATCGCAACCGTTCGTTTTTTCTGCACCACAACTTACCTTCTCCTCCACCCTTCCCGTCGTCGAGAAACCGCATTCTCTCTCTCCCCTCCCTCTCTCCCTCTCCGTCTGCAATGGCGTCTCTCCACCAAACCCTTGTTTCTATGCAATCCAAGCTCCTTCCATCGTCAGCTCAAATATCGAGGTCTCTCCCACTTCGGATGACCTTCCCACTCCGAATCGGACGCCGCGGTGGCGGTGCCGCCGGAGCAAGGATGTCCGCGACGGCGGCGGGAAGCTACGCGACGGCTCTTGCCGACGTAGCGAAGTCGAACAATACTCTGGACACGACGAGTGCCGACGTGGAGAAGATCGAGAAGGTGTTCTCGGACCAGCAGGTCGTCGACTTCTTCGCAAATCCGACGGTGGACGTTGAGAAAAAACGCCAGGTCCTCGACGAGATCGTGAAATCGTCATCGCTGCAGCCTCACACGGCGAATTTCCTGAACATCCTGGTGGACGCGAACCGGATCGAGATTGTGACCGAGATCGTGAAGGAGTTCGAGGCGGTGTACAACAAGCTGACGGACACGGAGCTGGCGGTGGTGAGCTCGGTGGTGAAGCTGGAGCCGCCGCAGCTGGCGCAGATAGCGAAGCAAGTGCAGAAGCTGACAGGGGCGAAGAACGTGAGGGTCAAGACGGTGATCGACCCGGACCTGGTGGCTGGGTTCACGATCCGATACGGGAACTCGGGGTCGAAGCTTATCGACATGAGCGTGAAGAAGCAGCTGGAGGACATCGCCGCTCAGCTCGACCTCGGCGAGATTCAGTTAGCCACCTGAGTCTGTGTATAATTCAAATCCAAAACTCGTTTCCCCTTTTTGTGTGCAATCAAATCTATTCTTTTCGGTAGATTTAATATATCAACATATATAGCAGTGTTCGTGGTTGTTCATTGCCAGAACTGAACCAATTGATAGAACGTAACTTCCCAAATGTGTGGAAGAACATGTTTGCAAATTGCGTGAATGTGATGTTGAATTTATGAAATTTGAGTTTGTAGTTTAACATATACAAGGTAATTAAAACTTTGGTGTGTGCGGTATAAAAATTTGAATTTAATCAATTAACATGTTAGATTTATAATTTATTGAATAATAATTTTCATATGAATTCAAATCGCTGAACTCAGTCCACTTGCTTCACGAATAAAACCCATTGATGTCGAACTCTTGTTAATTGTATATCCCATGATTTTATATTTATCTCCTTATACCCCGCGAAAATTCTATACATGTAATTTTATACACAAGAAATTTAAAAAAAAAATAATTTAAAAAATACTTTTTTATGATAATTTTATTAGTATATCCAATAAAATAAATAAATAATTTGTAGGTCGAACCTTATTTGTTTCTATTTACTCTTGCGTTAGTAATGTTATCCGACGGAAACTACCGTAATTTTAATGTATGTAATACTAGAAATATGGTGATTAACAAGAGCATATTGCACGCATAAATATTAAATATATTTTAAAAGTATGCATAAATAAATAATTATCCATCTAAAATCAAATGTAAGCATGATTCGCAAGTTTTGAAGCCCAAAGTATGAAATTGGGCCAAGTCAGCCCACTTTCAATTCACTTAAAGTTTAACGAGCAAATAATGAAACCTTAGAAATATATAATTATTTTCAAATAAAAAATAAAAAAAAACTTTGAACTCCGCGAGGAACCAAACCAATTAACAAGAGCATATTGCACGCATAAATATTAAATATATTTTAAAAGTATGCATAAATAAATAATTATCCATCTAAAATCAAATGTAAGCATGATTCGCAAGTTTTGAAGCCCAAAGTATGAAATTGGGCCAAGTCAGCCCACTTTCAATTCACTTAAAGTTTAACGAGCAAATAATGAAACCTTAGAAATATATAATTATTTTCAAATAAAAAATAAAAAAAAACTTTGAACTCCGCGAGGAACCAAACCAAATGATTTATTCTTCCTTTCGTCTCCTCTGAGAAAAAAAAAAAAAAAAAAAAAAAAATCCTTTGTTGAGAAGTAAAATCCCTGTAAGCTTGCGGTTTCGTGATAAAGCCCGATAATCTTCTGTGTTTTCGTTTATTTTGCTTTTCAGAATTGATGCGTATAATTTGTCTGTTGAGTTTTGGTCGATCTGTTTCTTGTATCTAATCTGCTGCTTGTCAGGGATCATGTCGATGCTCGATTCGTTCTTCAACAAGGGCTTCAAAGCTTCAAAATGGTACCCGCTGATTCAATCTGTCTCCTGTGTCCTTTTTAGGATTTTGAAATTTGGGTTTTCCAAAAGGAATGCTCTTTGATTCGATTCCTTCGCTTTTGAAGAATCTCCACAAATTTTCCCGGAATTCTGTGCATCATCGAAAATTTCGGAAGAATCGTGGGGGAATATTTTGATAGAGCTGTGAATCAGAATGCTTGAAAGTCCCTTAGTTTTTTTCTACTGTCTTCGACCTTTGGCGATTTCAATCTGTAATATTTTTTTTTTCTTCTGATCATCAGACACTTTCTCATGTTGGGTTCTGTAACTTACGCAGCAAAACCTTGCTCAAGTTAACGGTTCCTCGGATAAAGCTGCTTCGGAATCGAAGAGAGGTGCAGATAAAGCAAATGCGTCGCGAAATCTCAAAGCTTCTCGAGACTGGTCAAGAAGCCACTGCCCGAATTCGGGTATATACGCTTTGCTAGCTTCATTTGCTTTGTTCATGGTCTTCTGACTCTGTGGATCTGTTTGATAAAGCTCTTTACTTTGATCTTCTCTCAGGTGGAACATATTGTGAGGGAAGAGAAGATGATGGCTGCTCAAGAAATCCTTGAGCTCTTCTGTGAGCTCATCGCTGTTCGTCTTCCGGTTATCGAGGCTCAAAGGTTATTCATTCTTGGAAATCTATATATTCACATTGTGCTGTGGCCTGGCTTCATTCTGTCTGTTCATGTTTCATCTGTTTAATTGTCGGGGGGGAAATCAAATCTTGAATTTCAGTGCCCTCTTTCGGTTTTGTCCTTGGTTATGTTTCATAGGTGAAAGACTTGCCTTCTGACTATTTATCGTTTTGAAAGAAGTTCATAACTTCAGGGTTCTTTCTCTTTGATAGTACATGAAAGGACCGTTTATTTTAATTATTCGATCTCAATTTGTTGACCAAGAAAGTGAGTTCTGAGCATTGGAGATCCTTCCTGTTTTGAATCTTGTAGGGAATGTCCTCTAGATTTAAAAGAAGCGATATCGAGTGTATGCTTTGCTGCACCAAGGTGTGCCGACTTGCCAGAGTTGCAGCAGGTCCAGATGTCATTTGTTTCCAAGTATGGAAAGGAATTTGTTGCAGCAGCAGCCGAGCTTAGACCGGACTGCGGTGTTAATCGTAAGGTACGTCCAATTTCAATGGCGGTGAAAATATTTAGATCGATGGAACGAAGCTAACATATATTGATCCAATTGCATTGATTGACCTATGCAGTGCAAAATAATTCATTTCTATCGTTTGTTTTAGTATCTATGTATCATTGGGTTATGTTTCTGTCTGTGGAATTAGATCTAACCATTTTTCCGGATATAGATCTAGAGATATAGTGGTAATGGTGAATATTGAGATTTATAAAAGTCTTGTCTTGAGGCTATACAATAAGAAAGGCTCAGCTGGAATGAAATGTTCGTGTTTTTTATATGCTTTTATCTTTGATTACGGTTACAGTTGGTGGAGTTGCTGTCTGTACGAGCACCTTCACCGGAAACTAAACTGAAACTTCTCAAGGATATAGCGGAAGAGCATGAACTTGATTGGGACCCTGCTCCTACAGAAACCGAGTTCTTCAAATCTCATGAAGATCTCCTCGTGAGTACTTGTTCCCCTGCTTGATTGTTCTATTTCTCAGAGGGTTTGACCAGTAACGTTTATGAGACGTGGTTCAGCAAACACTGAATCTGCATTTCTGATGATGGATATTCAGATGCAGGGTATACAATACATACATATATAATATACCCGACCACATTCTTCTTGAACACGGGGGTGTAAATATCTTCCACCTTGAGCGCATTTTCCCATGTCTAAATCTCCTAAATCGTCTTTTTTCTCCTCAGGACGGGGCAAAGCAATTTGGCGGCGGCTCTAAGTTGCCATTACAAAAGGAGGAGCGTGATGAAGCGTCACATTCTGCACATGTTTCAGCCAAAAAGGAGCAATCGGATTCTGACTCTGACTTTGAAACATTAGATTTTCCCGAGGTTCCAAATGTTGTTCTGCGGCCAAGTCCTGGTACTGCCTCGACTGCGCCATCAGCAATCTCCCAAAGCCCTGAAAACGTACAAGAATCAGCAAAAGATGCCGGATCTCATGATGAACATACCTCTGAGGAATTGGCTTTTGAGTCGGAGAATAAATCAACCTCTAAGCAGGATGAGTCTCCCGAGAAATCGAGCAGCAAGATGGTAGAGGATCAAGGGTTTTCGTCTTATGTTTCTCCACCATCACATGTCCCAGACTCCGATACTGTGAAGTGGGGCGATTATTCTCCAACCGATGATCTTCGGACAAAAGCTGGCATGGACCTGAAGGATGTCTTGGCAGCCGCTCAGACTGCAGCCGAAACAGCAGAGCTTGCAGCAGCAGCAGCCCGTTCAGCCGCGAGTCTCGCACAGCTCAGAATCACTGAACTTACAAAGAAGAATACCGACCAGCCTCCAGAGATTCCTTCTGAGAACCCTTTTCATGGCAAAGAATCGCCGACCAGCGTAAAAAATCCATGCTTCGATCATCAGAACTCCTCGAACAGCAGCTTTGGTGATCTTCCATCACTTGAAAGATTCAGCCTTGAACAGAATCACGACCACCAACCACAGAGACTGCCTTCAATGGATGATGATCCCTATTTCTCGTACCCGAATCTCTTCCCGTCGCAGAATCCAGACAGTTCACATGGTTCTCGTACTTTTCCAGAGAATTCAAGACCTCCCCATGATTCTTAACTCTGTATATTTCATTTTTGCTCTGTTTGTTTTCACATATGCAAAAGAACAATGTGTTTGACGGTTCTTGAATGCTGTTCTTGAGTTTTCTCAGTGAGAAATACATGTGTTGTATTGTACAGAACTTGTGCGAGTGATAATGTTTAAAATAAGTTCGTGATTTGATGTTCTGTTGGATCAGAATTCGGACACGAACGCAGAAACAGGACAGATTTTAGTCACAACAACAGCTTATATGCAGATAATGTAATGAATACAAGACGAAGATGATGAGCTTACACAACACTTCAATTGCTATTCTCTCGTGAAAAAAAAAAACAGAAAAAAGCCCTAAAAAATCTCAAGAAAAAAAAAATCAGGGACCCTTTTGTTTCCCTCTGTTCCCTTCTCTCTTATGTTGTGTCAGATTGATACATAAAAAAAATGTCTCATCTTGGACCAGACAACTCAACTGCATGAAGATTATCTGTCGAATCAACGATCCAATCCGAACCGGGATGAGGTGCGAGTTCCACTTCTTGTCTGAGAACCTCCACTTTCTGCCACTCGTCCCATTTCTCGGCGAGACCGTCGCCTTCAAGCATCCGTACAACCTCTGACATCTTGGGTCTTTCCATTGGCGAGCTTTGTGTGCAGAGAAGAGCCACTTGGATGAGCTGTTCTACTTCTGATTCTGTGTAATTGTTCTGCAGATCAGGATCCACGAGCATTTCCAGTTTCTTCTCCTTTAATAGGCCTTTCACCTGATCAAATCCAGGAACAGAGAACCAAAAGTTTGCAACTTTATTCTTTTGGGTATCTGGAAATTCATCAAAATTTCATGCTTTTTCTGTGTAAAATCATCCATCTTTACCCAATCAAGAAGCATAACATCGTCGTCATTTGCCAGTCTAGCGAGATCAAACGCTCTTTGACCCGTGATCAGTTCGAGAAGCATGATTCCGTAACCGAAAACGTCAGTCTTCTCTGACGATTTTCCCGTGGAGAGATACTCGGGAGCTATGTGCCCGATCGTTCCCCGCACCGCCGTGGTGACGTGCGTGTCTTTGTAATCCATCAGCTTGGCCAGCCCGAAATCACCCACCACAGCCTCGAATTCCTCGTCCAAGAGAATGTTCGCAGCTTTCACATCACGATGAATGATTTTCGGGTCACAATGATCGTGTAAGTAAGACAGTCCTCTCGCCGATCCTAACGCAATCCGCTTTCGCGTAGGCCAATCTAAAGGTGGCTGAGACGGGGGACGTTCTGCAAAAAGATGGATTCTATGCCATTTTAGACAAATCACTCATTTGCTCGGTTAAAAAAAAAGGAATCGAAGACACAACCTCTTAAGCACGAAGCGACGCTTCCATTAGCCATGTAAGGATAGACGAGAAGTCTCTCAGTCGGGGTCATACAGAACCCGCGTAATCTTAGTAGATTCCTATGAACCGCCATGCTTATCATCTCCACCTCTGTCTGAAACTGAAGCTCGCCGCCGGGTGTACGCTCTTCTTTAAGTCTTTTGACGGCGACCAATGAACCATCGGCAAGACGACCCTTGTAGACCTTCCCAAACCCACCTCGGCCCAATATGTTCTTGTTGCTGAAACCATCGGTCGCAACTTGCAGTTCTCGCAAAGAGAACCGCTTGAGCTGTCCCAAATGAACTTCGGGATCTTCCTCGGCTGTGATCAGTGAAACCCAGAAGAAAAAACAAAACTTTTTAATCCTATGAAGCTCGTATAACATATCACAAAGTATTCATTTTTCTGAAAACGCGGAAATGAAGCACTAACCTGGTACATCAAAAAAGAATTCTAGAGGTTTTCTTCTGCGCCACCAAGCAAACGCTAAAGCAGGAGCTGCGAACAGCAAAGCAGCACCAGCAGCAACTCCTCCAGCAATTGCTCCCGTGGAACTATACCCAGCTGAAAAGTTTTGAATAACAAAAGCATATTGGAAATTTTTATAGAAATAACGCAAATCACACAAGCACACCATTGAAAGCCTGCAAATGTATGAAACTTGAAAAATTCTCCTGAATGGAAATGTTTTTCTCGACCTGTTCCGAATCACAGGTGGATATAAAAGTTCAAAGCTTTACGTTCTACTTGTTTACTTACCTGGTGTAGGAACAGGGGGTGGCGGTATAAATGGCGGTGGAGGAGAAAATGGAGGAGATCCAGGGCAGGGACGGCCGGTAACCGGGCCACAAAGATCCAAGTTGTTAGCAAAACTGTACGGAAGAAACCAATTTGTCAAACTTAAGACATTACATTATGTAATGAAAAATTACTTGGTCATGTGAACCGACTGTAATAACATTATGCAAGATAGAATCTTCCAAAAATGCGTCTGTCTTAGAATTTAATCCAAAAACAGAGAGTTGGAATGACTACAACACATGGATTCCATCAGCAGGGCAATGAATTCAAGCATGTTTTTTATCCATTCATCTCTAGTTTTCTCAATGATTTGGCCTGATGATATTCCAATATAGAGTCTACTAGAAATGGATAAAGGCTCTCCAGGGAAAATGAAATTCATCAGACCTGATAGGAGTGAAAAGCGAGAAGGAGCCATTGTCGGGAACAGAACCAGCGAGACGGTTATTTGATAGATCCCTGAATTCCACGAGAGAGTAAGAATATCACACGGATTACAAGTCTGGATGAGATCTCCGATAGAACACAGGAAGTGAAATTGATCGAAGAATACTCACAATACTTGAAGGGTTGAGATATTAGTCAATGACATGGGAATCGGTCCGCTAAGACTGTTATTGTTGAGCCGACTATCGTTGCCACAAACGTTCAAACCGTACATAAGTATTTATCTTGTGTGCAAATCATTTGAAATTGAGATATCGATAATCTACGTACTTTTAGATACAATTCTACATAAAAATTTAATCAAGTGTGACATATAGTGTGATTTTATCAACAGAGATTTGTGACGATAATAGAGGAGAAAGGAAATTCTTACAGAAACCGCAGCTTTGAGAGTTTGCCCAGAGAGTCTGGAATAGGACCAGTGAAGCTGTTTAAATAAAGATCCAAACTCACTAGGTTTGTTAGGTTCCCCAGATCGCTTGGAATAGGACCCGATATGTTATTACTGTAAAGCTCCCTGTCATAAACCACAATGCCATATCAAATAACATCCCCAGGAAAAATTTACAAAATTTGTGATGAAATAAACAGAAGAAAAATGTCTATAAAAATTGATTGCATCACATTTCCAGTATTTTATCGATGTTTATTATGACTTCTCTTTGGCATAAACTTACAAGTACTGCAAATTCTTGAGTAGACCAAGCTGGGGAACCAATTGACCAGACAAAGCAGCGTTTCCAAGATCACTGAGAATCCAGAAACAGACAAGAAATGAAGAACAGTAAGTAACACAAGAGCTTCAGATACACTAAATCAATAACATCAGTGGGCAGTGAAGAGATATACTCACACTCTTATAACACTGTTGTCGTTATTACATGTTACATGAAACCAAGTGCACGGATTGACAAGGGTAGGGTCCCAGCTTTGCAAGACGTTACTCGGGTCAATCAAATTAGCTCTCAAACTGTGAAGTGCATCACCTGTTTAACACATTCACAAGAGCTAGTTTTTCAGGAAGAGTTAAAATCACACTTATAGTTCTAATCTCTGACGAGTTAAAACCCCAACTCTCAAGGCACAGGGAAGATGAATTTTGGCGGCTTTTACACGTAAACCAAAAGCAGGTTACATGTTACATTTCCCCTTTGGATGAAGAGATCACATCCTCCCAAAAGATTCCAGCTTTCAGGTATTGGCATTTTAAGCATGGATGACAATGATCTCTGTTATTTGAACCAGAAGCCAAAAACACTCCAAGTGGAAAAAAAGAGATTCTTTTCCTTTTACAGGCGATGCCATTAGCGCAACATAGCTTACATTTAGCATCCAAACACTGGCATCAAGCTTCTGGTTATGTTATACTTTCTGATTTCCGAAATCCAGTGGTTTCTTCACAGATTCTTTAGCGGGGTCTTGGCCAAAAATAGCATTTTGGACATGGTAAATGAATTTGATTACCGAGATTTTATGGCCATTCAACCAAATTATACATGAGGGTTAAATTTTCAGGTGAAGATCAGTATCCTAAAGAGGACAACAGAACAAAGATCGTCAGGGAATCATCAAGCTAGAGCTTTCAGCTGATCTAGGTATTCAGATAATGCCAAATAAAGAAAGTGAAAATCGAGAATTAAAACCCCCAGGTTCAAAATTATAGATAAAGGGCGTTGTGAAAACAAACTCGAATCCTTCAAACAGGAACAGATTCACAAAATTCTTTCACAACAGCGACAAAGACCAAAGAATCTCGGCTTTTTTTTGCAGCATGAGTGTACCGCTGAAAGTGATCGAAGGCGAAAAGGGCTTTAAATGGACCAAAAAAGAGGAACAAGAACAGAAGAGAACTGACCTTCCACGTTGGAGGAGGCAAGCCATAATGGATTCAGTAGGAGCAGAGAGATCAACCAGACAAGACCGCAATCTTCAAGCTTTTTAAGTTCCATTTTTCTGACAAAACCACAGTGTAACCAAGATCACCCTTAGATCCAAACAAAACCTGTCACCGCCATGACCGTGCGAAGAGAAAACCCTAGCCCCCAAATCACACCATGACCTCTCCAGATTCCATCTTTCGATCTAAGAGATCACCCTCGATCTCTCTCATTTGTGACATACCCAGAAAACAAAAAGGGCCAAGGAAAGCAGCAGTAACAGCCACGACCCAGGTGAAAAAGGCGTGAGATTTTTGGTGATTTTCAGACCCCAGATGAAAATCAATTCAGAAAAAAAAAAAAAAGAGGATTCAGCTAGAACCCTTTCAAATCTTTTCGTGCCTTTTCAGAGCAAAAGGTTTCCACTTTCTATTTTTAAATTCCTCTTTCTCTGTGTTCTTCTGAAACAGCCTTCATTCTCTAAAGCCGCTCCTTCCAGAGATGGCTCTCATTGTGCTCTCTCTCTCCCTGAAGGTGCGCCACTGGCCACGATGATAAAATTTAAAATAACTCTGTTCATTGTGTTAATCACTTGGATTTTCAAGAGTCATAGTTTATTAGATTTATTGAATTTTATTTTAAAAAGAGTTTAGATAGTTTTGTTTATTAATTTTTAAAAGTTGAATTTATAAAATTAAAGTTAATAAAAGAATACAATATTTGAATTTATAAAGGAAACGTGAAACTCGGACCCGTAGAAACTCGGACCCGTAGAATCGTCGAATATATATAATGTATTCTTTTATTAACTCGGACCTGTAGTTACTACAGGGAAACGTGAAACTCGGACCCGTAGAATCGTCGAACGTGACGTGAGAGTTTCTTCTCCTAAACCCCGTTTTATAGTCAAAGTTCCTGTGGGTCCCACTATACTGCCACGTCAGACTCAACCACAGAAACCAATTGGATTTCTGCGTACTTACGTGCCCTTTTTTACCTCTTTACCTCTAGGGGATCACACACACACACACGGTCAGAAGTAGGGTCGAGCGTTTCGGTTCGATTCTTCGGAACCGGACCGAATCGAACCGTTAAAACGGTATTTTTTTCGATCCAAAACCGCTGTTATTTTTTGAACGGTACCATTTTTAGGGAATCGAATTTTTCTGGAACCGAACCGAACCGAACCGAACTTTAAAAATACCGAAAAATCGAATACTTTTAAAGGAAACCTATCATTTTTTTAATAAAATCCAGAACCGAACCGAACCGATACCGAAACTGAACCGAACCGAATATAATAAAAAACCCGATTGGTACCTATTTTTGTAAAACCGAAAAAATCGAACCGATCAATTCCGTCACGAACCCGAACCGTTTCCCGAAACATCCACCCCTAGTCAAAAGAATCATACATTTAAAATAATAGAAAATAAAAAATAATGACAAATTATAAGAACCCAATATTTCTAAAATTGAATTGATGGCAACCGAAGTTGATGAAATGGTGTTGAATTTAACCAATTCCAAAATGGTTTCCCTTGAATATTCATCGTTTCCTATTTTTTCTATAAATAAATAATGCGTTTTTTTTGTATAACTATTTTTCTAAAAAAAATGTTTTTCAGAATGACGAGAAAAAAAAAAGAGATGTTTGTTTTTTTTTTCAACGTAGTCGAAATAAAAAGGACATTGCATGTCAAAATCAGACCTTGCCACCAATCCCGTTTATTTGACAGAAAAAAAAGCTACAAAATATTTAGTGGCCTTTTTTTGACCTTTCTAAAAATCATTTCTACATTTTTTTATGGAATAAAACGAAAAAAGAAAAACTTCAAATTTTGTAGGCAAAAAACTTATCTTTTTTTTTAAAAAATTTCGTCAACACCAATTGTTACCCTTATCCATAACGAACGTAATAAAAAATTGCAGAAGAAATAACATATTCTATCCATTGCATAAAAGCCTTCGAAATTTTGTTCGGTCACGTTTGCAAACAGTCAAAGGTCGGTCGGTCCAAAGAAAAAAAAATGGCAAATGTCAACCCCTATGAGATTTGAAAAAAGCGGTTTATAAAATGATAAGAACGTACATAATAATTACGCATGCTTGATCATTCGCGCGTGTGTATTGAGCTATTTTACGAAAGAATAAAATTGGATATTTATTAATATTATAAACCCTTGTACGTTAGCTATTATACATTAAAATAAAATTGAGTTTTGATTATTATTATTATTATTGTCAATTTAATATATATATATATATATATATATATATATATATATATATAAAAGTTTTACGAGAGAAATGAGCGGTGGGATCCACATATAAAAAGGTCGTAGGCTTTTCATTCTTTCGAGCATGTGTGTCTCTCAGCTTTACAGTTTTTTTTCTTTCTTATTTGTTAGGTTTCCGGCCCCCCAATAATCTTCCCCAATAGTGATTCCAACCTAATTATATATTCTTTCAAAGAAAAAAAAACAAGTTTGAATATATTTTAAAAAATTAGGTAAGAAGTTTGAGGAGATATTGTATTTTACTATTTTAAAAAAAAGAGAGATATCGAAGTGAGATAAAGAATATTTTTGTTTATTGTATATGTTTAATATTTATTCGACCATAAAATTAAAACGTCACACAATTTATATTATTCAAATATTACGGCTAATGAATGAAAGCAGGGTCGATACATTATATATGCAATATTGTTGGGCCCTAAGCATATGCTAATGGGCCTTCTTTTATTATATCAAGGTTGTAAAGGGCCGGTCCAAGTTCCTTCATTTAGGCCCCATAAATTATTTGATATAAAATATATATTGCTTCGAGATTAAGGCATGCAACGTGTCGACTCACCTGAAATGGCTCGCACACACCAACTCAGCCCAACTCGTGTCGGTCCACAGGACCCGAACCGCCGAATATCCTAAACTCGATGTTGTTGTCTTCATCTTTTAAATGAGCAGAGCAGAGGAAACCTCGGCGGGCTGCATCGTCGGGATATGCTCCACTGTATCTGAAGCTTGCCGTTTCCTTCGCATCTTACTCTCTTTCCTCGGGCGAGCCGGTGGTGGCGGCGGCTCCACGGCGGCTCAGGATGGCAACCACCACGACGAGGTCGAGAACACCGGTACAAGTTCACGCCCATGGAACTGAAGAAACAGTATGTATTATGCATATCTATTACACTTGCACACATTCACACACTCCTGAAAAGAACAAAATTCTTACCTATCAGATTCCACACAATGTAACGATGATCAATTAACAAAAAAAAAAACTTTTTTTTTTGTTTTACCCCTTATTTTCAAGGAATCAAGCTCTGTACAATACTAAAGGTTCATGTATGTATCTGATAGGCCACGCACCCTTGAAACACTGGTGGTGGATTCCGTGTTTTTTCTTTCTCTAACTTACCAAAGGCTGTGGAGTTTCGTTTCTTCGACTAGGGGATGGATCTCTCTGAGATTCTGACTGTGGCCATGAACATCCCCAAGATGGCACACAAAGCACCAAGAATATATAAGAGAAGAAAACCTCTGTTCCTTCTAGACTTCTTCGCTACGGCGGCTGTGTGGTTAGACACGGAGGAGGTTCCATTTGCTTTGGCCGTGAACCTGATCCGGCTGAAGCTAGACATACGCACAAAGGTTCGGTCCAGAGGAGGACCCTCACATGCAGAAGCTGGTGTGGATGGTATAGATTCCATGAGTGACCACAGTGCACTAGAGAACTGGCTCCTTGTCGTAGTTTTTCCGGGGCAATTTTGGCCTCCCGGGTCTTGGGCACTTGCTGCCGTCGGAGGATTTGTCGACCCGCTAATCACACCTAAGTAAACGAGGAATATCGGCAAAGCTATCAGTGGAAAAAGCCATACGGTCTACATTCAAGAGAACGTTTGCAGATTATCAAATCATTGTCTTGGTTCGAGTCAATGGCAAACACAGGCAAGGGTCGATCAGAAAGTTCATCAGTGAGTGCCCTGAGACATGCTATGAAACTAGATACCTGATGAAGGTGAAGCGAATGCTTCGGAATAATATTGTTGCTCGTCCAAGGGATCGCCCCTCTCAGCTTGTAGCCAAAGAACACCGCTGTATTGATTCGGAGCAACTGCATTTGGATCTGAAAGGTAGTTCACCTCGCACTGTGGAGTCTGCTGCTGGAACTCGTGATGTGGGTGATGCTCCTTCATAGAGGACGGATTTGGAGCTGTTCCCTGAGAAACTGGGTCCATATCAAAAGACATGGCGACATCATGGAACAACAGGTCAAACTCACTCAAGCCATCCACCAACCCGTCAGTGTTAAAGGGCTGCAAAGGTTGTTCAATTGCAGAATCATCCAGATCAGGAATCAGAAGATCATCCATTTCTATGAAATCATCCTTCTCAAACACTAAAGGTGCTACTTCCATGGTCCTGGGAGGAGTCGATGTGACATCAGTAGCCTCAAATGAGTTAGCTGACACAAGAGAGTCTAAACTCAAGTGCCTGTCGTATGGCTGACTACTAGGCATGAACTCTTCGATTTGCTCGGGGACGAAAATCTCGCCAGAAGTGGTATTCATCAGTGTGCTCTGAATATCTTCTTCGCTGTTTACCTATGAAGATAAAAATTATATATATAGGTTAAGAAAGCGGTGCACTCTTTGGTTGGATGATACATTGTTACACTATGTCAGCCGGTGATATTACCAAATTTAATCTTTATCTCTTTCAATGAGAGAAGGAACTGACCTGATGAAAAGCATGAGGAAGATTGTTGATTTGCCGTGGAGGAACTTCAGGTGCATCTGCAATTCCTCTGAGGAGTTCCTCGATATCATCACGGGTAAGTACACCATCGTCCACAAAAGCAGCACCATTAGACTCAACAGCAAGAGGCACTGGCTCAGCACCATAATCTGTTTCTTCCTTGTCATCATCATCAGCCCATTCTTCTTCTTGGAATGGAGCACCATACTGTTCACCATTTTTAGGACCAGCTCCACTTTTCTTGTACAGCTTGTAAAGGGCATAATAATCCTGATCGAAGAAGAAAAAAACCCAAATCAATTAGGGACAATAGATGACAAGAAAGACAGAGACACAAAAGATTGTGAATGTCCTAATACCTTAGCATTCTGACATTTGCTGAGTTCTTCTTCATCCATTGTGTACTCATGCATGACCCAGTCAGTTCGTTCACCATTAGGCGCCCGGCCTCTGTAAAAGACAAGAGTCTTCTTGATTCCCACGGTTCGGGAATTATACACGATGTTTCGATCCTTTCCTGTAGCTTTCCAGTACCCATGAACAGTGCCTCTACTAGACCTAGCTCCATTGGGATACTTCCTACTCCTCGGAGTGAAAAAGAACCATTGTCGATCTCCTGACTTCAACAGTGACTGGCCTGCTCAAAATTACCAGATGGATCAGAGAACTGAAGCCAACACAACTCCATGCTAAGACAAATATTCATTCATTATCGATCTTGGAAACAGAACAAAGATAAGCATCTGATACAACAGATTTCATCTAAGGCTCAGACTAATTGAACAGGTGTCAGGACAGAACCATGATCAAGCAGGGAAAAGCAACCCTAGTCAACGAAGGCGAAAGCAAATAAGGACATCGCGGAAAGCAGACAACGAAATTACCAGGCAATTCCTCGGGATCCCATTTGTACACATCGACCACACCGATTACATTGATTCTGAGCCTTCTCCCACAGATCTTCCTCTTCAGATAATACACAACAAGCTCCTCGTCGGTTGGGTGAAATCGAAACCCTGGGGCGCAAAACCTACCTCCTTTCAAACAAGAATCGGGCGATGAATCCGCCATCATCCTCGTCCCACTGCCCAATCCGACCCCTCACGTCAAAAAACGAAAATCTCCGTAGAACAAATCAATCGGGTCAACAACGGGGAAGGAAACCCAGATCACCGAAGCCGCTTCTTCTCTTGCTCCTTTGAACTCAGAAGAGAAGAAGATACTACACTACATGATAAGAAACGATCCCCCAGAGAGAGAGAGAGAGAGAGAGAGAGATCTAACCGTAGGGCCTTGATCGAACGGAGAAAGAGAGAAGATAGAGAGGACGGAACATTTGATCATTCGAGGAGCCAAGAAGGAACAAAAGCCTATTGGTCACATGAAATTTCCACGAAAACTATTCCGTTCATACTTACGGAACGGTCCTACCCTTTATGGGTTGTGAATGGGCTTCGAGCTCAGCCCACATATTATTGGGTCGACAAATCAAGATCTGGGCTTTTAAGGTTGGATGCCGAATATATTTATTAATTTTTTTTAAAAAAGAAAATGCTATTTGGGTGATTTTTATTAATGTAAATTACGATAATAATCGTAATTGATTCCTAGTAAAATGCCAATGCAATTGAATTTATAACTGAATTGATTATTGGTGCGATCATTTAGCTTGGATTGGTAACATAGGGATAAAACAACCTTTAACATATTATATGACTTTATCATTAATTATGACATTATATAATCAATCTTGAGATCAAATATACATGAAATAATGTAATTTTTATTAATTTAAATTAAGTTAGTAATCGTAATTGATCCCTATACAAATGCAAATGCAATTAAATTAAACTGAACTGATTAGTGCGCTCATTTAGCTTGGATTGATAATATAACCATAAAACAACCTTTTTAATATAATATATGAATTTATCATTAATTATGAAAAAAAAATACATTACACAATCAATATTGAGATCAAAATATAAATACAAATAATAGTTTTTTAGTTAGTTTGTTTTACTACTACTAAATCATAAATTAAATTAAAATTAGCAAAATTCCACAATGTTAAAGCCAACCCGGCTTACCAAGATCTGACGGTACACGTGGCATACATCCAGTGGGGAATTAAAACCCGGGGGGGACAGAGCCGCCGTGGTAATAATGCGAAGCTTTTCTTTTTCTTTTTGACGTTTTGCTATAAACAATGATATCTCATTTTCTCGGCGTCCAAACAGCCATTCCTCCGGGAAAATTTTGAAATCGGAGAGAGTATATTCACTTTCTGTAAAGGGAGAGAATATTAGATTTCCTGCCGAAACCAACGGTTCCGAGCTTTTCTGTTCAATTGCATCGAACTCGAATCCGAAAATGTACTTAACATTTCAGATCTGAACTGACATTCGGGAATTCTTTCCTCTTTCGGAAGCTTCTCTCGCCGCCATGATCGATCTTGATCTCTGTGAGTCTATCCTTCTGCCATCTCGTCCTTCCTTACTTCACTTTTCTTCCCCATTCGTAGAATTTTGATGTTCCCTTTCCTACTTGTCTTTACACAACGAAATTTCCAAGTTTTCTGAAAGTCGGGCTTTACCCGATCCAGATATGATTTGACTAGATTGAGTTCAACCCTCGTCTCTCCCTCCCTTTCTCTCATAACGGAAAGCAAATCGAGCGAATATTTTGGACTTTTGCATGTCGCTCAAGTTTGTTTCGTTGCTTGAAACTGATTACATTTGCGTTTTGTCCTTTACTTCGGCAATGTGTTAGGGAATTGCGGAGATTCTGGATTGATGCTAGGCTTTACTCTCTGAATATATCGAAATCTCACCACAAGACTGGATTTTGAGGATCTTTAGCTTCTGGGTTTTGCCCAAGTGTCAACAATGGTGTTTTGGGAAGGATATGTAAGCGATGAAACTATGGGGACATTTGCCCCTATCATAGTATACTGGTTGTATGGCGGGTTTTATCAGCTATTACCATCTCTGGATAAGTACAGGCTTCACACCAAGAAGGAAGAGAAGGAGAAGAATTTGGTTCCTCTCTGTTCTGTGGTCAAGGGTGTGTTGCTTCAACAGCTCGTTCAAGCTACTGTTGCCCAAGGCCTCTTCCTGGTTTGTCTAAGAATTCTATCAGCTTTTTCTCCTATTTCTGCATCATGGGCTGTTATTCTTTGGGGTTGTGACCCATGATCTTGAAAGTTGCTTAAATTTCAGCTACACGTTAGTCACTTGAGGAGAAAAAGATGGGACTTTGCCATTTTCTTAGCTCATTGCCTCGAAAGTAGCTTAATATAGGAAATAGCTAGTGGTTTGTGCCGAAAGCTCAAATTCGTTACCTTATTTTTTGTTATTTAGCTCACGATCTTTTAAAATTGCTTAATTCAATAGTGCATTAATGATTAGAGAATAAGATTCGAAGATGTCATGTTTCCTGCTTTGTAGCTGACGAAGTTGGCAACTCCTTAAATCCATAACCCACTAGTGGTTTAAGCAGAACACAAGCATCGTTAGTTGTTTCAACTTGTTAGCTCATGTCTTTGCAAGTTGCTTAAAATTTTTGTTTCTGGAGGTTTTAACTTGGAGTTCGGTCCTACACTGTCTTTAGTTCCACAGAAACTGCTTTTGCTTCCAAAACCGTCCGAGATCAGTGATTCACTTCCTCTTTGTTTCAGCAGAGTTTCATGTAGATCTTTTAAGACTTGTAACATGTTTTCTTGGTGTGTCACTGAGACAACTTGGTTTTTCATGTTATTCATTCTACAGTTCACATCAGCACAAACATCAGGGAAAGTAGAACAGCCATCTATTCTTGCTCAAATCTTGCAGATAATCGTAGCAATGTTTGTCATGGATACCTGGCAGTACTTTGTCCATCGGTACATGCACCAGAACAAGTTTCTCTACCGTCATATCCATTCCCAGCATCATAGGCTAGTCGTTCCTTACGCAGTTGGCGCCCTTTACAATCATCCCCTCGAAGGTCTCCTTCTGGACACATTTGGTGGAGCAATTTCATTCCTCATCTCGGGAATGACAGCAAGAACGGCTGTTATCTTCTTCTGCTTTGCTGTGATAAAAACAGTCGATGATCATTGTGGACTGTGGTTGCCGGGCAACATCTTTCACCTTTTCTTTCACAACAACAGTGCCTACCATGACATCCACCATCAGCTTCAGGGCACTAAGTATAACTACTCTCAGCCGTTCTTCTCAATATGGGACCGGCTTCTTGGAACCCACATGCCGTATGATCTGCTGAAGCGGCCTGATGGAGGTTTTGAGGCTAGGTTGAAGAAAGAGTAGCCAAAGTTGTTTAAAAGCCAAGTAATTCCACTCTTGCTTCAGCTGACCAGTTCTCTATCGACAGAGAGATGGTTCAACCCAGAAGTGTGTTTTTGCCTGAACTTAGGCTTCATATCCGAGGTTGGTGTTTCATCTGACTCTTTCTTGTGCCCAGTAAGGAAGAGGACCAGATGATTTGTTTGTTCACTCACTGCTAGGCTATTATTGTGCCAACCTCACCATTTGCCTTGTTGTTTTATGCCACTTGGGGTTGTCCGCACTGTGCAATATTTTGCTTGAAGTGTCAAGAGTTATGCTTGAGACACATTTATTGAATTTGTTCTAGGGCTTGTCCGAGTGTGTATTGAGGAATACACGCGATTTGTAGCCGAAGTTGTTTCTGAAGTGTGTTTATTCGTCAGTTAGAGTGGGATTTAAAAACTTTGGTCTGGTTTAAGCGTTTTGTCTCAGTTGACGAGAACGCCGCATGGAATCTGAAAAAAGCAGATAAGTACAGCAAGTGCCTTTTATTCAATTTCTAGCTTAAGACAAAATCAATGTTTTCCACATCTGTTACCAGTAATCTCTGCAAGAACAAGACCCATCTTTGAATCTATGAAACCGAACTCGATCCCTAACAACAATCTCTCTATTATAAATCTTCGAGACGTGCTTGAACACGACATGACAGTCCCCGCATATCCTCAGGTTCTTTATCACTCGGATGGGCATATCCTCCTCCTCAGTAATGATCAGACCATACGCCATAGCCAACTTCTCGCTGTGGAAGCACAAGGCATTCTCTTTCTCTTCATCTCCTATGTCATGCAACACCAACCCTGTTTCAGCCATGTAACCGAACTCCCTGATCTTAAACCTGATCTCGTCGATCTTCTTATATATATCTCTCCATCTGTCATGGCTCTTGTCGCCATTGTAGAACTTATGAATAGTTCCTTCGGCCTCTATGTAGCTGAAACCGGGAATTTTCTGCACATATCTAGCCTTCATCGTGTCCCTCACTCTTCCCACGTCGTTCCACCGTCCATGCGCTGCATATATATTTGACAGCAGAACGAAATCTCCATCATTGTCAGAACCCATTTCCAGTAATTTCTTCGATGCAGTTTCTGCCATTTCTACGTTTTTATGAATCTGTGAAGCATTGAGAAGGCTTTGCCATAGTATTGGATCTGGCACCATTGGGATCGAGGATATAACATTGTAAGCCTCTCTCAGCCGCCCTGCACGTCCTAGCAGATCGACTAGGCTGCCGTAATGCCTCATGTTAGGCTCAACTCCATTGGAAGAGATGCTGTTGAATATGGCGAGCCCGTGATCTGTCAGTCCCATGTGATTGCACGCGCATAGAGCTGCGAGGTATGAAACATCATCTGGTTTGATGTTGTTGTGATGCATTTGCTCGAAGATCTCCAGCGCTTTGTATGCCTCTCCGTGTATTGCAAACCCCATGATCATGGTGTTCCATGTAACCACACTCTTTTTGGCGGGGATTTGGTCGAAGACTTCGAAAGCTTTATCAATGAACCCGCATTTCGCGTACATATCGATAATGGCATTGCAGACTATCACGTTTTGATCCAAGTTTGCACCTTTCACGTACCCATGAATCTTTTCCCCTTCCTTGATGTCACCCAGGTGAGAACAAGCTGCGAGAGCTCCAAGAACAGTTACTTCATTAGGGTTTATCCCGTCGCTCTCCATTCTTCTGTACAATTCTAATGCTTCATAAGCTCGATTTCCCGAAGCTAATCCAGCTATCAATGCGTTCCACGACGCGATATCTCTAACCGGCATTTCTTCGAACAGCTTCTGCGCGCTACTGAGATCTCCATTCTTCGAGTATGCATCCAACAGCGTCGTG